TACATCTTCTACAGAGAAAAGGTACTCAGATAAATTATCCATGAATCCTGACATCAAAAGAAACACTCTAAGTTGGAAAAGCGCCTTCTACTGCGGACCAGACTAATGTCCAAGCCCAATGTAAACACAAGCGCGAAGGTCGGAGTAAAGATAACACTGCCACCTGAATTCCCAACAGTGCAGTCACCAAAGTTCGTAAAGTGTATCAGATTTCTTTTGCAGCAATCTTCTTCTTGTTGGAACGAATTTGGAATAGCACAGGTGCAGTTTTTCACTCAAGAAACGGATACCCCAGTGGAACTACCTGCGCTTAACTGTACCAAGGAAGTTGTCGACAGCATTCAAGTCCAGAGTGGCGATGAATCACAGTGTGCAGAGATAATTGAAAGCTTAGGGAACGTTATCAATCTTTGTCGGTTACAGTATCAACTGGGAAACACAGATACCTCTGACGAGGAACGAGTTGCAGAAATTTAACTGTTGGCAAAACGGTTTCTACAAAGAGGCAAAATCAAACAGTTTTGAAAAAAATAAATGATATTTGTTGAAAAGAGGTCTGTTTGGATTCCATAGTACACTAAAATGGACCCGGACGGCAGGTCGGGTAGGCGTCGGAAAGATAAATAGATCAGCCTCAAAAATAGGCTTTCGTTCCCGACTAGTTGAATTCCAAATCTTCAGGCTTCACAGGCCGTTTGAGAGGCACGACAGATTTGCGCTCAACGTCTCTTGAAAGCGCTTTTCGCATATCTAGATCGTTGAAGAAATAGAATATGCGTGACATGAATATGACCAGTCATATAAAAACAAACGAGTCTGCTAAGTACAAAAGACAATTTAGCATGACGAAGAGAATGAGCCAAGCGGTATACGCAAGTAGTTCCTACCGGGAGACCGCACAAATGACACAAATACGTACAGAGGAGAAATTAGAGAGACATACCGAAAGCATCTTCATCATCGTCCTTGCCGGAGTAATAATTTAACACCCGTCGGTAGATGACATAACCCATTTTCTTGTAAACGGAATGACCCAATTCGTTTGAGGCGCGGACAAATAGGTCGAGGAAATAGCAAGCTTTTCTATAAAATATGATAAATTAAAGAAATCAAACAGGAGCGTCACTGGATAACAAGTAAACTACTCTGCAATGAGCATCGTCAACCATATTTCCTTGGCGAACAAAGGTGTGGATCTAGACTGCCATCAGCCATGCCATGCAACGTCATCACTCAACGAAAGTCTGACGAGGAGTACAAGTGTCAGGTACCACCAATCGCCAGGGGGCTCAATGTTATGAGGGTAAGCAGGTGAAGATAAGAAGTGGAAAAGCAATAGACGGTATGGGATTCCGGGATCGATTTTGATTTTCGCTAGATGAAGTTGCTGAATTGGTTCACAGGTGAGCGACGCGATATCCCAAGCCAGGTGGCCAAATTCTTCTAACCCCACTTAGTAGCATCGTCAACTTCTATTTGTTTCATCTACTGCATTGTCTAGCCTCCTCTCGCGTACCTTGTAATGGTCTAGGTAGACAGGGTCCGATATGACGAGCCTCATCTGAAAATTTGCAACTTGGCACAATTACTCATACATAGGCATAATGGTTACTAGGAGGAATGACGTGTGGACTGTTAAAATTTTGTCGGCATCGCGCTCGCTTTCAAAGCGGCAGGAACTTTCTATCGAACTCTGCCGAAGAGGTGCTATGCAGTAAACTCGGACTGTTTCACCCATGCATCCGGGCGCGTGGTAAAATTGTCCTGTTAATTAATCACTGGGAATGCAAGTAGAACTCAACAATAACGGGGCCTGTGGCGTGTTACAGATGGCTTCAACAATCTGGCAAGTTGCCTCCCAGCATGTTAATGTGTAATGCTAAAGATTTGGGGAAAAAACAAACGTCATATGCTTCTGCAGTTCTTTGAGCGTTTCACTCTCCAGAATACACGATTTAAACATAAATGACGCCTCATTTTGGAAACAGACTACGTAGCAAGTGTCATAAACGGCCTTTGCCTATCGTAATACTGTCCACCAAGACTGTTACATAGTGTTTGCATGGCAAACGGCCATACATGGAAACACCAGCTACACAGATCTAGTTTTGCCGGAATAACTTGCACACTGGCTATCAATGGTCGCCGGACAAACGAATTCACAACAATAAGCGTTTTTGTGTTAGTTTTCCAGGTACACAGGGCAGACTGACGCAAAGTCCGGATATACCCAAAAATCTGTGCCATTTGAACGTCAGCAAGCGCGTCCTTACTGGCCGACAGTGTGCAAGGGATCGTCAAACACTAAGAATCACAGCTACTAGTGGCTTGCGCGGTGATCACAAGGAACTCCGGAAAGCCCGAATCCGAATACTTGAAAATGGTCTTGCCTTAATTGATGATAGCATCACGTAAAGGGCGCGAACGGCGTTATCATGTTTACTCATAACTCCGCCCCGGAGATAAAAAAAACCTAGCAACAAATCAGTCTACGGCGTACCTTATTAGGCAGCAACATCTAACAGCGTAACAAGCGCCTTGACTAGCCCAGTCATAAGACACCTGTTTGAGATCAAATTGAACCTATGTCCGGCCTTAAAATAGTCAGGTATTACAAAGCGATCAGGAAAGTTGTTGCCTTGGAGGCACCACACAATACTTTGGTGGGGAAAACGGAGTAACATACACCAAATTGAGCTCTGGCGCTGAATGAATCTGCCTCACGGTGAAAGTCGCTTGTTTCCAACAAAAAGTCTTACAGTAATACCGAGATGGGTATAGACTGGCCACCCGCGACCACGCCAGTTGAGTGGAACGACCGCATTGGTAACCAAGGGGTTACCACATGTTCCGTAAAGAACCAGATATGCGATTTGGCAGATATGGAGCCAGTTCGCAAACTCTACGGGCACTTGAAATGTCTACCATATCGAGCTCCGCTTGCTAATGAGGAAGGCAGAATAGAATATTCGTATAACAGACGATTAAATAAGAACCCCGGCCTAGGGCAATCAAATGGGGTTGGTACATAAACGGCAGAGCGCTAAGATTTGCAAGCGAGGGCAAACGGATTTTTATTACAACGGAAACTTGTCAAGCGTGGTTGGGACGACACAGTATGAAAAACTAGCCAGTCATTTGGCGGTAGAGGGGCGGGGAGGATACAAGATTATTTTCCTTACTGGTTCCCACTATGGCAGTACGAGGTGGATCGGGTGACCAAACTGCTTACGGAGCCCTTATTTTCTCCTGCAGAGTCACTTTTGAATAGCGCAGGGGACGCGCAGTCGCCGATCGAAGTCAGACCTTAAATGACGCCGTTTTACAGCCATGTGCTTTGCGAATGAACTTCCTGGTATTTTATTTTCTGATAAGTAGTAGAAGCGATCGCTGCAACAAGAGATTTATCCGCCTGACATTTCGGATTCACGCTCGAACCCATCATCAGAAAGACTAATAGATCCGTATCTGTTACTCCTTCTGATGGTGAGTTCGAGCGTGAATCCGAAACGCCGGGCGAACAAATCTCTTTTTCCGGCGACTGCTTCCACTTTTTATCAACTACTTCCTGGGACTCGCACCTTCGCTTGTATCAGTAATTTTATTTTCTATCAGCAGGCACTTCGGCCTGCGCTCAGCTAGCTGAGTTGTTAACTGCTTTCACGTGCGCAACATGTATTTACATCCGCAACTACATGTTGGCTCACAGATATCGTTTTATGTGACGCTCATAGGCAAAACGTCATTAGCTGGTTTAACTGGAGTAGCCGTTAGTATATAAAGAGACAGGTTAATGGCTGTGTACGTCCGTCCAATCGCGTATCGAAGCCGTCACTGGATCACGTTTGACACATCACTCTCGAGAGGCAAGCGCTAACAAGTCTTTTGGTATGGACAGTTCCGGCGGGTTTTCTCGTTTGAGGTAGCGAAAGTTATCGGTAAAATTTTCTGGGCACCTGTTTCTAAGAAAGCAGTTCATAAGGATATTAGCCTATGGAAATAAGCTCTAGTAGTCCAGTCGAGTAGATACAAGGCAAAGTTTCATCCTTTTTTGAATTGGGGAGAAAGTCGAAAATTACATATACTGTCTTTTCTAAGCGGTTGCCTGGCAAGTTGATAACTCAGTGGAGCGATCGACCTGCCTATGGACAGTGTTGTTTTCTTTAAGATCGATTGTAAAGTTGATTTTTGCGTGCGCCATCTAAATAGCTCTGAGTGGTAGTTCCAAATCTCTCGGGCTACTGATTACGACAAGAAATGTCATCTACATAACTTCTATAGGATATGGTTCGCTGTAGGTTAAGGAACGATTTTTGTTCAAGGCCTGATCTGAAGATGCCGACTAGGGCTGGCCTCATTGGGCTGCCAGTAGCTAAGCTGTCTACCAGCTTGTTTAAATGTCCACTGACTATGAACTGTAATCCTTCATGCATGACTGCAATTATTCTGACTCAAAATAAGTTTCGGACGCGTGCTAAAAAATTATGTCAGCGGTTTCGTCTAGTGGCGCTCCAACAAACTTGCACTGGTTAGTTCAATCAATAGAACCAACTAGACGCAGCGTTGATGCTCACACTACCGAAGACACTTTTCCATTTGTCAACGATCGGTGGACCAAAACCTATGGAAGAAGAATATAATATTGCTTGACGTAAAAAGCCTATTTAGTAAGGTAAAACTAGGTAGGTATGGAAGGGGAGCAGGAAAGTATACGAAATCGTATTTTGTTAAGAAAAGTTAACGTGGAAACGTTTTTAAACGGGTTGGAGATGATAGACTAAGAGCACGGACCCGCTGCTGTTGGCGTTCTGACTCGCAGTGGCAAGGCCCCAGAAGTACTGTTGGTGTCCCTGAATAGGAATGCAATTTGGCCTAAACCACCATCATTAAGACAATGATAGGGTGAGCCATTAAAAAATGAACAGGCCCGAGCACCAATGAGAGGAGTGTTTCTTCAAAATCTGGACGTAACAACTTGCCTTTCAGAGGTGTCCTCGAAGCCTTTCATGAGCCTGCCAGCCAGTCCAACTCGACGATATTCTGGAGCCACTGAAAGGGCAGTCACATGGCCATGCCAGTTTTCACCCTGGCCCTCTGATTTGGCAACCATATAGCCCATAATTCGGCCACCAAGTGTGGTGACGTTTTCTCTTACCCTCTGAAGAGCGGTACCGAGAACGGAGTCGCCTTTGGAACCTTGACATGCCGAGAAGCATGTGAGGATTGGTGACTCAACGACGCGCATGTACTCCGGCCAGGTGATCATGTAATGCATGTAATACCCTACGCTGTACTTATAATGCAACGATTAAGGAATAAACAGGCAGACAGGAAAGGTTAATGGTTATGGTCAATGAGCTATCATCTTGTTGTTATGCAACGACAGGCTGCAGTCGAGAAGCCGTCGCGAAATTTCCTGGTGCCATTAAATTCTGCTGTCCTTGCTTGCTATCATCTTGTGGCGTAGTCGTAAAGGAGGAAATCGATTTACACCCCAGCCAGATCTCTAACTTGATTCTAATATGAAGGATGCCGACCAAATTGTTCAGGCCCTCGGACGTCCCTTAATTCTCGGTTGTTATGCCCGCACATCACTCATCCTGATTAAATCAGATTACCCATGCTTTTCTATGTTTCCGTTGGTGGTATGCAGCGAAAATTGGAGGTTGAAAGCCGTCGCAAAATCTATGAGTTTCAAAAAATCCTACTTAGAATTAATAATAGTATCCAGGTGTTTTACATTCCTGCATGGTCTGTCGATGACAAGATATGAGTGGCTTTGACCACAATAATATAACAACAGTAAAGCTAAATAGTCAGAAGATATTTCACCGGAGGTTGATTTGGAACACTCGTCCTAATCTTTTTGTCCTTAACTGCTCGATCGGTGATGGGCTGTGCGCTGCGATAAATTGGAGTCCGCTTGGTTTCCGCCTGGGAAAATTATCCAATTGTTAAAGTAAAACGTCAACACGAGAATCCGAAGCTTGGCATGCTGAGTTATGTGTGCAAGGATCTTCAATCCCCGTTTTCAATAAATGTATACATGCGTAACTAACTCTACGTAGATAGTCCAGTGGAAGAATTGGAAAATAAAGGATACAGTCTCTGTCAGGGGATCCAGGTTCCTGAAAAAGAAACAAGGGGATCGGCAAAAAGATGGATATAAACTAATGGCTGACAGTTGGCCAAGTGCCATGTTATAAGTACTAAAATGGCCATAACCCATTGTGACGAAGTACTGAGTTCCCAAAACCACCTAATGCGACGTAAAGGTGTTCTCAAAATTGGGATTTGATAGCGGACGTGACATGCATTTAGGGTGAACTTGTGATAAACCAACGCCGGGATTTGGTTCTATACTTATGTGGTGTTTTAAGGTCTTTTGTCGGTGTTTTATATTCGTTCGTTAACGCTACATAGAGCATCCATATGAGAGATCTCGTCGTTGATGATGGGTTATTACCGACATTTAAATGTCGCTGTCCAAAACAAAGAGACATTATATATTGCGGTTCAGAAATTGAGTGTGGTGAAATAAGCAATGGTACCTATCAGATTACATCGGAGCAACACAGCTCTCTGATATCCCCTATTTGATCACTTTTAGATATCCCTACTGATGTGCACAGAGATCCAAAAGTAAGACTATCCGAGCCGAAAAAAGAACCGCTCACTAAACGTGGATCGCAGAGAAGAGAAGATATCAACTAGGACATTAGAAGTCATCAATTAAATCTACTTCGTAACTCACACGTTTGCATATCTTAGAAGGTCCAGAACGTTAAATTCACGATAAAGGGCCATGGAGAGTGGATAGTGGAAGCAATTTGCGGACTGTTTACGCCGGCTATCAGGCAATTGGTCGAACAGTTTCACGCGAGCCGCAAGGCCTTCAACGACTCTTCTTGAGATTATATTTGCGTAATTATGTTTGGGTGACACTCCCAGTCAATGAAAGACCCGGGGCTGCCATAAAGCAACCTGGCGAAGTAAGAAATATTAAAGGTATGTGCATTCTTAGGCAACCAGCTACTATAACAAGGTAAGATGTATCTACACGTTTTTTGATGTGGTTCACAGAAAAATGGACATAATTACGGCAACTTTCTTTAAAGTGGACCACAAGCACAAATTTTTGCCAGCCGAGGGCGTCTAAACAACTAGAATTTTTAAGATGGGTGGATTTCTCGAGTTTCACGGGATAAGTTTTCGTTCGCAAAAAGCCGGTTTGTTTACTACCCCCTAACACGCGCACTGTAGTGCTAAAATAAGCACTGATGCTGCGTGCACGTTTTGAGCATTTAATGTGAAAACGCATATATAATAGCTGCGGAGAGCCGCTTTTCAGGGCGAGACAATGTCAGAAGGTTTGTTAGAATATACATACCAGTTCTGGAGATTTCGAGCAGCTCACCCAAACTTTAGCTTTTTCATGGCTTTTGGCCTCTAGTAAACCGTCAGAAAACGTCGCCCTATAAGATTTGGCGGTACGGACGGACCTGTCATTTGACCAGATTAACTAGTGGACTCCAGGACAAATGGTCGGTTATTAATAAAACGTGATTTTCTATCGCTTTTTCATTGTGATCATCACATTTCTTTGCTTTTTTTAGCATGCTACGTTCTGCCATTTGTTTGCTTTAACAAAACAACTTTGTGTTAGCCCATTTGCGTTTAGGCCTGTTGGGTTTGCGCTCTGTCAGATTTATCCGCGTTTGTTGTAGGTGGCCTGTCGCCAGCCTACGTGGCTCTTGTGAAGAACAAGCATTTTTAATTAGGATCGTTTTAACTTTTTAGTAGCGTCTCCCTGAGTGACATTCGGCTCCTTTAAAGCGAGGGTGTCGGAGCACAAGCCGGACACCCTAACAGAATAATTGTGCGGCCAACCCCTCGACCGGCAGAGAAAACGTACTGGAGGGAGGCTTGCCTTCTATTTCTGGTTTTCTTTGTTTCCTTCCCTTCCCCAGCTGAGTAACTTGTGATTAGCTCTCTTCTTTACACCTCTTTCTTTAACAAACATTCAGTCGTTGAGGAGTTGATTTTAATGCTGCCTGTTTTTAATCTGCGTGTTCAAGTGGATACGAACTTCATGAACGAAGGCTCAGTGGTGAACATGCCTGCGGTTATCTCCATCGGCGACCAACGTCACTCGCCTTCCAATGACGCAAATCTAGATGAAGCTAAACTGTCAGGTACTCCGGATATTATACCCTAGCTCCTGCATTTGCGTGGGCACTATTTAACTCACTATTTATACGGGAGTTATTTATATGGGAAGGCTGTTTTCAAGGATAGCGGATCATGACTACGCAAAGTGCTGAGTTGAAATATAGTCTATTGTTTGTCATAAATTGGTTTACTTTTACGAATATTAAGCATAAAAATGTGCATGGACTTAAATTACTTGGAATATTGATAGTAATAATTTTTATTAAAGATCCGCGGGATCCATTCATAGCAAGTAAGAATAACTTTTACATGAATTGTAGAATTTTAGAACAGGTATGCCGAATCTATACAATAATTAATTCTGAATAATTCATAGTTGTTGAATAAGTAGCATGTTACGAAGAATGATGAGCGAGCAGTGGAAAAGAACTCCTAACATATAAACAAAATGAATATGACTGGATTAACGCTATAGGAGAAAAAACTCTCTCCAAATCGAATAAAAGCAGGCGGGTCCGGTCTGTATGTGGCAGTCTATAACGGATTTAATGAAGGGGTAAGTAGGTGTGTCAGGCAGGACTGGCGTGCATGCAGTATGGAGTAAAAAGTTCGAAACGGGCATCATCAAGGCGGAATTTATATGCCAGATGAGGCCATTCATGTCAAAGCGGCGAATTGAGAACCCGTCTCGGGCGATAGGAACCCAGATGCGGTCAGTTACAGTCTGCTGAGTCCAGCTGAGGAGGGGGCAGGGGAAATGCAACCAGACTACTAGTATATGGCGAATAGGGAAGGTTCTGCCAAGAGCGTCGATAGAGAGCATTCTGTGAGCTTGATGCATGAACTGAAAAATCGAAAAAATTAACATTTCTGATGGGAGATCCTAGGAAGCGATACTGCACACAAAGGACTTAATTCTGTTCGATTTCCTTTCCAAATCGCCCCCCGATCAATCACAACGGTAAAATCCAGTCTTCTGACTTCGTCGACTGGCGAGGCCCTACAAATACGGCCGATAACTAGCCGTGAGAAGAACCTGGACGTGTCGGCTCCGACCTCCGTCTCTCCCTGCCCTTGTGTCACGAGGACGATACTCTCATGCTTTAGGTCTTTTACAGTAAAACTTTCAGCACGATTTGACTGCAGGTTAGCCTTCGTAAACTGGATCTTTTATTCATTGTCTTCATTTTTTCCTTTTGGACTAGGCGTTCAGCCGGACATGTTCGTTCCATTGGCCCGATCGCGGAAAGGAGTACTATAAGGTTGTTAAACACTGCATACGCTTCCCATTGACCGTTGACCCCGGCTTAGTAATTAGTTATTCTCTAACACCCGTGAATACTTGGTTTGGGAGATGATAATTCACAGAGTCCTTACCCTTGGTTGCGCCACTCTGGTTTTCTTCAGTCATTTCGAAACGCGTCGGTTTCATAACTCACACAGCGCCTCTATCGCTTAAAATAAATGCGAGAATAAAAGTATGTCAACCAAAGAACGAACTGTTTACCCCCTGTCGACTGAGACACAAGTGTAATAATCCGAATCAGTAGTTTGATTACGAGGGTTATGCAATTATTTCCGAGACAACAATCTGACGCCACAGCACAAGCAATAGTCCCTGTCCATCTTACGAACCAACCACGATTTCCTCTCCGGTCTCCACTCATTCAAACGAAATTCTGTCCTGGGGGCTCTGTTACGATTTTCCTTCTATCAAATTTTTCAGAATATACCTCTCAGACAGCAGTGATGGCAGGGATGAAAGTAGCTGAAGCAGTATAATAGGCCTTCGAACAGTTTGCGGATGGACACTAATTTACACATTTCGGTGAGTTAGAAGAGGTAATTGGATATTGAAATAAGATGATAGGCATACTTTTTATGCTGAACGAATTTCAAACCGACGATATTTATATAAATTTTCCGTTTAGTTCGGTTTACTGAGCAAAATAAGTGCAAGCCCTTCAGTAGCCATTTCGCAACTTAACATTGGGCGAAGTTTACAGAGAAACCATGTAGACTGAAGGAGTTCAAACGGTGTCATAAGAGTAGGATCAAGTCTACTTTCTCGTCGCTCTGGTTCATTTTTGAACATAAATCGGCAATAGTTCGGTTTAAAGTTTTCTATCGGTGGTGATATTATAATATTCGCGGAGAGGGCATTCCTTTCTGACAGAGAAGAAAGGCTTGCGCATATTCATCTATGCCTGTCGAACGCAGTCTTAATGGGTGACCTCGGCGGTTGGTTATGACAGCAAATGTAAAAGGGCCTCAACGGCCAGGCTGCAGTTCACTCCCTCCACAGTGCGGAATACTTATCGGAGATCCCTGCAAATTTTCCTATATATAAAAGATAACTGCATATAACTGTTCTGGGACTGTCATGCAGGTTACCCCTGCGAGAAGCACAAGCTTCAACGTTTACTAGCTGCCACAATTCACGCCGACAGCTTGCTTTTTAAATCTTCCTTTGATAGAGGAAGAAGGCATTATAAGAAGGGCTGAGTCGTTATATTCTGTATAAAAGCCTGATTGCTGAAAGTTATTGCTGCTTCATCCATTTATTTAAAAAAGTTTATAAATTAACTGTGACCTCATAGAGTTCACAAGCGCGTGGGAAACATGGCTGTTCACGATCCGTCCAGTGGAATTCAAACCACTCGGACACAATCGCCCCGACGGATGTCAAAAAACATAGGACAGAAAATTTACTGACATTCAGAAGTTATGCAAAATATTGCTCACGAGCTGGGCTCAAGTCCGCGCACCTAGGTGATAAAGCGAGAGTCGGTGTTCTATATCACCGTCTAGCAGCAGAACAACAATAAAGGATAACGGATTAAGCATCAAAACTTTCCAGAATGCCTTCAGTGTTGGATATCCCGTTACTAGTTCATCTGGTCAAATGCGTGAAACAAGTCCGGTAACTGTAATGGATGGCAGTTTGATCGAAGAAAAGTGTACGGGGTGTTAAAGACCCCCCTCACAGAAGTGCTTCAGAATGAAGGAAATATCAGATATGTATGTATATGTATATTGAAGGGTTACAGGCAGAGCCCTTGATGACCCTATTTATGTACAGTGCT